GCTGACGTCACAAACACAGCTTCCGGTCGACACGATTGCGTCGTCCACGAAGTATTGCGCGGGTCGTCGTCCCCCTGGTCTGTCGTCGAGGTCGGGTCGTCGAGGTCGAGGTCGTAGCATCCATCGCTTGTTTCCCGTTGGTAGAGTTGTGCCGTCATTGTCCAAGGGACATTGGCCCTGCGTTTCTATCGACCACACACACCCATGACAGAATTGTCGACGTGGGCAGCGCATACACATCTTCGCATGAAGCATCCTCATGCAAATTGTCTTGCGTGTGGCTGCGGTGTGGACGGCCAAGAGGATAACGAGCCGACCCTGCGTGCTCAGGACGATGGACGTTTTCGTCGCAGGCACTCTCATGACAGAGGCACGTTGGAACTTTTCTGGCGGCGGCTGGTGAGGACGGCGAGATGTGATGATGCATACTTGTGCGAGCTAGCCGTCCGACTCTATGTTGAGATTGAGTCGAGTCGACTTTCTTGGACTTTTCTTTCCCGTCAGAATCATACAAATTCCTCGTCAGCGACCGCTGCATGTCGTTCTGTTTGCGGAAAAGAGCGGCACTCAAAGACAGGTTTTGGAGCGATGACACCGCAAGATCCCTGCCTCGTGATGCGCGGCACCATGGCCGACGCAAGGTTCACCCCCAACGTGATGACACAAGAATTACCTTAATGATGTACACAAACATGGCGTTGCTTGTCGAGCTAGCTTTACTCCAATGCGTATGGATCGTCTTAATGGTCGTGGATGGTCATGTCGAACGTGTCGCTCTGGTTGGGCACGTACTTGCTCACGATGTCGTCGGGCACACGAAAGATGGCCTTGTTGTTGAAGAATTGCTGGCGCTTGAGTTGGGCCGACACGGACGCCGGGACGTCAGGGATAACGTGTGCGAGGAAGAACCGGATCACCATCATGATGGCCACGAACGAGACAAACGCGATGAGCTTTTGGACCTTGGCGTACTCGTCGACAGCGTCCTCGTTTACGTCCCCGTTGGGGAACTTGAACAGATTCGAGTTTTTGAGGAAGTCGAACGTGTTGGACGTCCACACGATCACGTACGCGTTGGTGAAAATGGCAATCGTGGTGCACCACTCGACAATGTCAAGCCACATGCCAATGCTGCCGGCGCTGCGAGGACGGGAGCGCCGGTTGTCGAAGAGGAGGCGGAACCCATCGACGCGGATTTCAATGTAGTTGTTCACCAAGGCAAACAGGGGAGTCAACGGGAACGACACCACGAACAACGAACAGTACCCGAATTGGGTGATCATTTCCGTGTAGTCGTCGAATGTGCCGCTCCATTCATACGTGGAGAGAGAGAACTGCTTCTCAGCTTCGGAGACCATTTCCGTCACCGCTTCGCCCTTGACGATGCTGCGCTTGTTCAACCAGGCAAAGAAGCGGGGGAGCAAAATCTCGCGAACGTTGCCGACCACGAGTTGGATGCCAAACACAAGCGCCAAACAGTACGCCAACTCACCAAGGCAATCGTGGTCCTTGCACTCGCCTTCGAATGACTCCTTCAAGAACGCCGTGTAGAACAATGCGGCGAAGTTGTTGACAAAGTTGAAGACGAACGTCTTGACCACGAGCGACGATTCGTACTCCGAGTCGGTCTCGTGGTTTTCGTACTCATTGAACGAATAGAACGTCTTATAGTAGATCTTGCCCATGATGGTAATCTGGACCACGTTCGCCACAGACGCCAAGAGTGACCCCACGGGAATATGCGATAACACCCCCGGGAGCTTCAACGAGTCGTCGTTGGTCCAGATGTAGCGCAGGCGAAAGATGCCCGCAACCAAGAGGAACACGATCGAGATCAGCAGAAGGAGGACGCCCCACGACATGGCAACGCGGGTGTACTTCTTCGAGGGGGCGAAGTAAAGCGAATGGACGCCGTTGATGGGGCTCGCAATCGGTTCACCTGCGAATTGAGGACGAGGGTTTTCTTCTTGGGCTAGCTCCGACATCCCCCACTTCATCGCCAACACGTTTTGTTCGCGCTTCCACGTTTCCAAGAAAATGGTCGACCACACGCACATGAAAAAGCCGAACGCCGGGATCAAGTATGGAGTGTGCGACAAGACAAGCACCTCTTCCTTTCCAAAATTTTGACGGGTGTCTCCGATGAATCGTTGTGCCGTGAACACGAGGGCACCAACGACAGCAGCGTAAACCATAAACGTCGTGTAGTGTCCCAAGTACGCAAAGTAGAAGGCAATGCGTTCGCCAAAGTATTCGCGGATGCTGTCCAAAGGTTGGCTCCAAGGCATTCTAAAGACAGGGATCCAGTCACGGGCGAGAATCTTCACTTCGTCTTCGTTGTGGAGAGGGTAGCACGCCAGGATCGACTCGTTCAGGATCAATTTGTCCAAGTCTAAGTCGCAGCACTCCTTGGAGATGATAATACTTTCAATCAGCTGCATGCGTTTGACAGGCGGGAACACTGTGCCGTCCAAGTTGCGCTTGGCAAACAAGTATTGCTTGTCATCATCGTCTTCGAACGCCGCGTGGATGTATTCGTACGGAGCATAGTCGTAGATTCTCTTGACGTCGGAGATCGGGAACGGCTTGATACCCAAGTTCTTGAACCCACGTTCGGCCGTGGCTTGCAATTCCTTGGCATCCAACAACACTGGCATGTCGATACGATCAGCTTCGATCTTCAAGCGTTGGTAGTGGCACCGGATTTCGCAGAAAATGATATCGCGGGTGGACGAGTAGTACAGGCGGAATTGCAAGCCTTGCGAGTGTAGGCGGCGAAGGATTTCTTCCACCGAGAATGGCGGTTCTTTGGCACCAGGCTTGCGCATGACTGGGTTTTGGAATGCAATCGTGTAGTCCCAGTGCACGGACGGATCGTTGATATCCAAGCGCATGGAGCCATAATCATGGTTTGCTTGAGCAAGGATCTTCCCCTTCTGGTGCGCGAGCCGCTGCTTCGCCGACATAGTCTTCTCAAGGACAATCGAAAAGTGAAGTCAATGATGCACGGTCGTGACTGGAGCACGTCCTTTCTAATGTCCGGCTACATTCGTACATGCCATCTATACAAAGCACTGTATAAACGTGAATGTATGTACCTAACTAATGTATGTTGTACGTGATTGGCCGTACAACTCAGTCGAAAACTTGAAGATAAATGCTCGACGACCGACCTGCACATGATGCCATGACTTGCATGGGTACAGTGCTCGGTCCACGGAATAGTAGTTGGGCTGCGGTCGTCGGACCTTCCGATCCACAGTGCCAGCGAGATCATCCACTGAGGTAACACCGTGCGCGATTTGAGTTTACCCATGGAACCATGTTAGTCGCGGTAAATGGATTTGACTCATTCCACGACAACCTTATCCCCAGTGGAAAAAGTTTGGCGTCAGATTCGTCACTTTGTCCAGTGAAACAAGTTACCACCGAACATCATCGCGTCATAGAAGGAAAATGGGAGTGCTAGAAAGCGTTCCTATCTGGTGAGACGTCCTTGGACCCGCAAGAATGGCGCCTCGCTCGCGCCTTCGTCGGGTTTGTTCACTTGACAGGTCATGCATTGATCTGGATATTCTATCCGGATAATCTGGACAAGAATTTCAATACAAAGATCAAGATAAGTGGTTGATCGGGCTGTGCGATATGGATAAATGTATTGGGCACTGCAGCCAATGGGGTGCCACCACCATGCCAATCACGATTTCTGGCGCACTCTCTGGTACAAGAGCGTCGTGAATTTCTCGTCGATGCTGCAGGGAGACGAGGAAAGCGCGCCGCTCGTGTCGTCCCAGACGCGTGCGGATGGCAATCCAGCTCTTCTCGATGGTGTAAACGGTGATTCACAGGTGGACGCTCCGAGTCCAACCTTTGCTGAGCCTGTTGTGGTTGTCGACAGTAATACCACCACTTTCCAGCAGCACCCGACGAGCGCGGCATTCGTGGGAGCTGGAATAGTCGAAATGGAGGATGATACGACGTATTTTGGCTTCATCGAGCCTTCGGTGGCATCACCTCAACCGGTCGATGTCGAAAGTGACGAAGTACTGTCTTCCCATGACATGGGTCATGTTATGACGGTGCAATGTGCCGTCGAAACTCCAGCGGCTGAATCTGTCCCTTCTGCGGTAGTAGATGTTGAGGAAGACGCCACGGCTGGTTTTCTCGGTGCTCCAGTCGAAGCGTCAAATCCTCCCGCCGTGGCATTGCAGGTCAATGGAAACCGCCCGCCGACGCGCATTGCTCACTCCCACACGGCATCTGAAACGACGCACGATTCAAAGCTCCGAATCGCCAAGTTTTCGACCATGCCAACGATGCAAAAGTCCAAAACGTTCCGATTCACTCCTCGACCGAAGAGCGCCGACACGTCGAGGCGTGGCGAATTGCAGCGGTTCCTGAGCACTCCATTTCACGACTACGGCGACTACGGATCGACATCAACTTCGTCCATCCCTTCGACGTCGCATCCCATGCTGCATGCGGACAAGTCTCCTTCTGGAGCGCCGACGAAACAAGCGTCCACGAGGAAGGCCGCGAAAAACGGCGGGCGTCGCGTGGCCCGCGACCGAGGCATGGACGACACCAAGTGGGATTTTGTGCTCGTATTTCCCAACCCGGAATTTGAAAAAGAGAAAAAGGACAAGAAAATTAAGTACCCCTTCATCCCGACTATGAATGACATGCTGACGCGACTCCGCCAAGCTGGCCTGGACACCCAGCTCTCCAAGTCGACCAACCTCGACGTGAATACCCCCAAGGATCAGTACATTCCTCCGTTCGTATACTGCAAGCTGTCAGCATCGATGGAGCGCCTTAAGGAAGAAGCAGCTCGCGTCCACATGTCGATCGGGCTCGTCGAGAACAAGCTCGAACGCATGGCCAAGCAAGGTGAAGTGCGCTTTCACATTGAGAACCCGGAAGACCGTGCCGCGGAGATCAAGAGGCAGGGTCATGAACCGCTGCCCCCGGAGAAAGTGAGCAAGGTCGAGCGTCGCCCGTACAAGAAGATCCAATTTGAAGTGGGGCGTGAACTCGACGTATTCAATACGTTTGATATTTGCGAGCTCGAAAACATGGACTTGGAAGAAGCGAAGAGTCCTTCGTCAGCGGCGGCCAGCACAAAAAAGCCGCCATCGCAATCTCACTTGAGCGCTATCTTTGCCATGTTCAAGCGGTTCCGGTACAACCCGTACCAGTACATCCACATGACGTACACGCCACAGCAAAACGTGCAAAACCTGTACGGGACGCCGCTCTTTTGCAGCATCAAGCGAATTCGCCTGATTGAGAGTATTGTTCGCAGTGTGACAGGCGCCGGGCTCGATTTGGACATGCTTGTTCAGTTTGGCGCAATCTCGGCCTTCTACCCCATGCACGACGACGAGTACTGCCGCGACATCCAAAGTACATGGAGCACGTCGTTGTGGCTGACCCACCAGCCGATCGAAGCGACCCGCGAATATTTCGGCGGCCAGGCGGCGCTGTACCTGGCATACGTGGCTCACATCACCCGGTGGCTATTGTTTCCGTCAATTTTCAGCATTTCGCTCTTCTTTGCCTCCGAGCGGTACCTCGTGTGGGTTTTTGGATTTGTTATGGTGTTTTGGGCAACATTGTTTTTGAAAATGTGGAAACGGAAGCTCGCCGTGCTCGGAATGAAGTGGGGCCTCACTGACTTTCATGCGCAAGACCACGATCGTCCCGAGTACGACGAGTCGATTAACCGCCACATGCCCAGCGCTCACTTTGGCTCGATGATCTTCTTCCGCCGCGTGTTTTGCTTCATGGTGACCGTCGTCTTCCTCGTCGCGGTGCTCGCGACCAAGGCCGGCCTCTTCTACGTGCGATGGGTGAGCAAGGCCGCTCCCGAGCGCTTCGACTTTCACGTACCCTTCCTCGATCACGATACAATTTCGTTGTCGTACGCTGGCCAGCTCAAGATTGTCGCGGTGCTCAACGTACTTGCAATCTTCTTTTGGTCTACGTTGTTTGCCCGCATCAACGGCTTCCTCACCGACATCGAAGTGCACCACACGGAAATGTCGGCTCAGCAGTCGTTCATCTTGAAGGGCGTGATCTTCGAGCTTGTCAACAACTTTGCCGGAATCATCTACATTGCATTTGTCAAACCGCACTTGGAAGGGATTGACGGCAACTTTGCCGGTCCCGACGTTGAAGCGGTCGAGGAACTGAGTGAGTACATGTTGTACATCTACGGGTGCCAGTTGCTGTTTCACATTTTGCTGCACGTGATTACTCCGTGGATTCGCCACTTGTGCTGCCTTGCTAAACTCCCGCGAACGACGAAAAAGGTCGTGGCGAACCGTGCTCGGTTACAAACGATTACGTCATTCGACGACAAATCGGTCGCCCGCGATGTCGAAGCCGTCCCCATCGCACAGCCCAAGCTCCTCCCCGTCGAAGTCCAGCACAACTTGCAAGAGTACGGATGGAAGGGACTGTTCCAAGATTACATTGCGATGATCATGCAGTTTGGTTACGCCACGTTCTTTGTCGTGTCTTGTCCGTACTTGCCACTGATGGCGTTCCTGTACAACTTGGTGTCGATTCGTGCGCACAGCATATCCCTTGTGACCATGTACCGTCGGCTGGTGCCGCGCAGCGCACAGCACATTCGATTGTGGGCCGCGTTCCTCGAAGTGTTTTGCGTGTTGGCGGTCGTGACCAACTCGTGGTCGGTGGTGGCCAAGGCCGAGATGGCGTCGCGTACGTTGGAGTACCTTCACGTAGGGAACGAGTACTACGTGCTCGTGCGGTCGGTCTGCATGGGGGGACTCGTCCTCGCGCTGTACTCTGTCGGGAAGGTTCTCGGGTTCTTCATCAACGACATCCCGACCCGCGTCCAGATCCAGCTCGAGCGCCAGGAGTACTACATTTCCAAGGTGTTACACCTCGGGTACCAATGGGACAAGACGATGCATTCGATTTTGTACGCCAAGTCGCAGGAAGAACTCGAAGCGGAAGAAGGGTACGGATGGGACTTTGCGATCGTGTTCCCGAACCCGGAAGTGCGCCGGCCGCCCAAGCTGCACCCACTGACGGGCAAGGTCGAAGAGGTCGCGAGCATGCGCGATATGATCTTGAAGCTGCACAAGGCGGGGTTGCAGGTGCAGTTTTTCGAATCCACGGCTAAAGTGAGCTCGTTCATTCCGTCCATGGTGCTGTGCAAGATCCGGGCGAGCGAGCAACGACTGGAGGCCGAGGCCCACCGCGTCAAGCTGCCGCTGCTGTTGAACCCGGACGAAATGGCAAATCAGGCAATGCAAGGCGCGATCGCGACCGCGTGGCAGCGCGTGCGTAAGCATGTACAAGCCATCGAAGCCGAGATGAACTCGAACAGCCTCGACAGTTTGCTCCAAGAGATCAAATTGCTGACCGAAAAATCAGACGTGATGGACATGTCGGAAAGCGACGTTACGTGGGACATCCTGTTGACCCAGTTGTACTTGGTGCTTGGCGACTTTATCAAGCAAGACAGCGATATCAAGGCCAAGTATAAAGAGCTCGGGGTGGACCCCCAACTTCACAGCTCGATGATTAAGCTGAGCACACTGTCGGAAGAGCTCATCGAGAATCTCATCATCCACGATGACGAAGAGGAAACGCTCGTGGATCTGTTACTCAACGCGCCTCGGTTGCTCGATGACATTTCGGCCGGGCTGCAGCAAGCCGGCAAAGACATTGGCGTGCAAATCAGTTTGTTGCCGATTTTGATCCCGTCGTTGGCGAAGCGCCGCAAGGAGAACAGTCCGATGCTGCCCGAACACGACCTGCAAAAGATGATGGAAACGTTGTCGCAGGGCTACGTAAAGATGATTCCGTTGTTGACCAAGATGGGCCACCTCTTGGCGCTGACGTTGCCGCTTCCAGACTTGCGCGCGATCGATGCACTGCTCGAGAAGCGTGACGTCGCCGGCCTCCATGCAATGGGCGAACCCAACATTTGGCTCCGGACCGAACTGCACTTGATCCACTTGATGATTCAAGACAACACGTTGGAACTGCCGCATCTGCGGCAGCGCTCCCACACAATCGACAAGTCGTTGACAATTGCGGCCAGCGTCCAGCTGTGGATCGATTCAGTGATTGCCAATCCTATGATTGACATTTCCCCGTTCTACCTGCAAAACCCCGACCCCAAGTACAAGGGCCTCTCGAATAAGTTCCGATATGGGCCGTACGAGAACATTTATATGGCGTACCAAGACAAGCGCGAGCTGCAGCACTGGTACCACAAGAAGATGTCGCTGCACGGCCCGATGCAGTTATTCAGCAGCACCGAGCGGCTGACACTTATCGAGAGCATCATCACGAACAACGAGGTGGGCGCGGGGCTGCACTTGGACAAGTTGATCCTCAGCGGCGCGATCAAGGGGTACTTTCCACTACACGACGATCACATGAAAGCAGACTTGTGGAAAAAGTGGAAGTGGAGTCTCCATCAACCGATTGAAGAGATTCGGTCGTACTTTGGGGTCAAGATCGGGCTCTACTTTGCTTATCTCGGCCATTACACGACGTGGCTGATGCTGTCGGCCGTCGTCGGGGGTGGTGTGTTCGCGACCCAGACGCTGCAAAAGCGCTATTTCCCGCCCGAAATCGCTGAAGGGTTCAACTGGGTCAAGGTGCTCGCGGTCCCGATCTACGGCGTGTTCATGGTGATCTGGGCCACCCTATTCCTCAAGTACTGGATCCGCAAGCAATGGGTGTTTGCCATGCGATGGGGCATGACGGATTTTCACGAAGAAGAGCAGGTGCGTCCTCAGTTCCAAGGGTCGCTCATGCGCGATCCGGTCACGGGCGCCCGCATGCGTTACTTCAGCGACAAGCAACGGCGGTGGCGGCTTATGTTTTCGTGGTTTGTCCTGGCAATTCTGATTTGCATTGTGTTGATGTGTGTCGCGGGAATCTTCATGCTCCGATACGCGTTCAAGCACAGCGTGTTGCTGGAAGTGCCGTATTTTGGCAACATCGGGACCCAGTGCGCGTCGCTCGCAAACGTGGCGCAGATTTTCATGATGTCCCAAGTGTACAACTACGTGTGCAACTGGCTCAACGACTTTGAGAATCACCGAACCGACTCAGACTACGAAAACCACTTTGTCGCCAAGGCCATCGTGTTTCAGTTCGTCAACAACTTTGCATTGCTGTTCTACGTGGCGTTCCTGAAGAAGATCTTTGAAGGAGAGTGCGTCGACAACAATTGCATGACCGAGCTCGCGGTCTCTCTCACGTACGTGTACGCGTCGCAGCTCGTGATCGGGAACTGCCAGGAAGTGATCATGCCGCTCTTCTGGGCCAACGTCGAATACTTTCGCCACGAGTGGGTGAAGAAGACAGACGACCACGAAGTCGTGAGTGCCGTCGAAACGCAGTTCTTCATGCCCGAGTACGGGTGGGCTGGTACGTTCTGGGACTACCTCGAGATGATTATCCAGTTTGGGTACTCGACGTTCTTTGTGCTGGCGTGTCCCCTCGCGCCCGTCTTTTCGTTTTGCAACAACATTTTTGAAATTCGCATCGACGGATCCAAGATCTCCAAGTTTTGCCGTCGACCCCGGCCGAGTGGAGCGTCCACGATCGGTCACTGGGTCAAGGTCCTCGATGTGTTTGGCATCATCACGATCGTCACGAACGCGTGGATCATCGTGACCACGTCCAAGTTTGGCGACCTCATCCTGCTCATGTGGCCCAAGTTCGACCAGTACTTCAGTCAAATCGGGCTCTTCTTTACGCTCACCGCGCTGTTGCTCGGCGTAAAAGGTTTGATCAACAGCTTTATCCCCGACATGCCGCGCCACGTCCGCGCCCAGCTCAAGCGCCAGAAGTTTGTCGTGTCCAAGATTTTGTCCACCCACGACACCACGGACTAGCCAGTCCCAACGACGACCGTCCAGACGTCGAGCTTTGATTTTCCAGTGAACTAAAGCACGAACGTGGTCAAGTGTCTTTTCGATGTGGCTTCAACTCGTCGTGTTTCATGGGGTGCAGCAACCGCCGTCGATGGCTGCCCATCTTGAGTTGCTGCACATTCACCATCACATGACCATGGCTTTTCATCGTGGTGTACCTGGTCTAGGCGTTGACCCAGTGCGATGGCCGACGGACGATACAGAATCGCGTCGCCCACGTGCTCGAGTTCGTGCTAGAACGAAGGTATTGCCGTGAGTACGATTGCCAAGTGAGGGAGTTCACTCATGGACGGCAACGACCCTGTGCAGTCGATGAAGCGTACAAGAGATACCTCATGGTGCCTCATCTTGGCTTCGCTGAGGCGGCGTTGTCGCGCCTCCGACACGGGATTCTACGGCGGACTTGTCAGGTCCATCCACCAATGCTGTGGCAAGGGCGTTGTCACCTTGATCTCGAACTCGCACGTGGCGAGTCGTGGCCCTTTGTCCGTCGATGCCTTTCAATTTCATGAGCTGCTTGACACGGGCCACCATGGCCTCTTCGTTTCTTACCGTGTCCAGAACAAGAGATGCTGTCGATGCTAAAGCACCGAGGCTTCGACTCGACCGCAGCGCGGCAGACACGTGCTCGACGTGCTGCAGATACCTTTCGTGCTGTTGAATGTGGTGGTCCACAGCGCTGCACGCCCCATCCGTCACTGTCATGGTGTGCCCCAACTTGCGCCCTTGGTAACCTGTATACTTGTACATGCGCACGATCTAGAGCCATTATATGTCATGGCGAAGTACACCGTGTTGAATCGCGTGGCACGGTCACCTTGTCGACGGATGGGCTAAATTTGAGGGACACTTTGGATCGACATGGGGCAGTGGCAGGGTGCGGCGAAGTCTGCGAGTGTTGGACGTCCACGGGTGGACCAGGCTGGTCGGATGAAAGATGAGAGTGTCTCTCAAGAAATCGAGAAAATTGGCTGCGCACCGCGTCGCCGTCTGCGTCATCGGCTTCGAATTCGACCACGGCAATCGACTCGTCGTCGGACAAGTAGTCGGCATCGTTGCTGTCGTCACTTAGAATTTCCTCTTCGTGCACAGTGCCCTCGTCGAGGACTTCGCGCACGACGACGTGTGGTTTCGGGCCATGTCGAAGTTTTCGGGTTTGACTGCGAACGATGCGACAAGTCAAAGCCGAGATGGGAGAAGCATCCGTACATTTCCACCCGCCACGTGCTCCACGATGCACTCTTTGCCTTGACGCCAGTCGTCCACTGCGAGATCGTGTCGATCATGAGGTGCGGAAGTGAGTGGCGCATTTGCACAATGAAGTCTGGGTACGCCTTTTGCAATGCTTTGTACACGGTGCGGGACACGCAGTCTAGTGCGTCGGTCATGAGCATCGAGGGGTTGTAAGGGACGACAGGGCGGCTTTACATGGAAAGTAATCGAGGAACTCGTCCGCGGCGCCCGTCGGGAGCGTCATGTAGAGTACTTTCGTCAGGAGCTTCCCGAAGTGCACTATCAGCCACACATGGTGGATGGCATCACTCAAAATGTCGATCGATGTACCTGCGACTTGGTTTTGGACATGCGCTTGAACAACGTGGGCGTAGCAGTCGGGCGGGACGGCGATCGTGTCGGTTTGGTTGAAGAAGATCAACGTCGCCCACCAAAACAAGTCGGTGATCATGTGGGTGACGATGGGCGACCGAAAGAAAAACTTGTTCCAGTAGAACGTTGTCCTGTAGTCCATGGCGGAGTCGAGTTAGAAACCAAATGGACAAACCGAGCACGTTACCATTCACCCTTGAAAGTGACGTTGGCTCTCACTGCTTTTTCGATCGAGTCGAGTTTGATGTCGATGCTCATCGGGGGCAAGGTACCCATGCGGTCCATATGTGCTTTGCAGTGCCGAGTCACGTCGTCCAAAGTTGCCTGCTTCCGCGTCCACCCTGCTCGCCGCTTGATGCGCTTTTTCATGCTATGCCAGGGTCATCCATCGTGGGAGGGATGGTGGGCAGCCTCGTACTGGGAATTGAACGTGTTCACAGCACTAACAGTTCGCACCACGGTGGGGAAGCGGCGTGACGCCACGGAGCTCTTGTCCAGGCCATCCTGCAGGGGGGTCTTGCCGACGCTGCCTCGCCGCGCCATGTCGCTCACGGTACTAAAAATACGATTCAACTCTAGGCCACCACTTCCTAATTTCAACCCTAAACTTGAGCCGTTTATGAATAGATGAATGCATTCCAATTGAGTAAATAAATGAACATGTTACCAGAGCGCTCGTGATTCATCTTGGTCACAATTCTGCGCACGAGACGTGCAATGATGGGAGGACTGCCGCCGGTGCCGCCAACTGCCACTTCCGCCCCGATACATCTCGGGAGCAAGAGTGACTTCGACGATATTGAAGGTATGATGTGTTGTGCTTGTGCATTCAGAGCTGGGTGTGTTTGTGCGTGGAGAATGACGACATGTGTGAATGATGGAGTCGAGTGTGCACTAGGTATGATTGAGCGCAACAAGTGCGCCAAGGAGTACTACAAACTCGAAGAGTGCTTGGGCGAGTATGACCGAGACTGGACAAAATGCCAAGAAGTCGTGCGGGCGCTGAGGACGTGCAACGCATCGAAGAACAACGGGCACTAGATCGGTCATCCCCTCGTGGATGAATCATATTACTCTAACATCTCGCGTGTCTGCATGTGGGGTCTAAAATGGCGCTTCCGCCGTGGTTCTATTGGTAGCGTCGGTCTTGGCCGCGTCTGTCGCTTCCATCACATCGACGTCGTCTTGGCTGTCGTACCATCCGTCCATCGTATCGATCTCCATCGTGTTTTCATTCTCCCGACCTTCCTCTTCCATTGCAAGCCGCGCGTACTCTGCTCGTGCAAATCGATCCCAATCTCTACAACCGTCACAACGTCCATCATGCAACGACCGTCATGCTGTCGGCAGCACATACGTCAACTCTGGTTCAGCCATTTGCTGGCGCAGCAAAAACGGATCGCGGCCTTCAAACTCGATAAACTTGCTCAGGTTGAACAGCACGTTGAAGAACACGCCCGACAATCGGATCTTCTCGGGGCGAATAAAGTCGGCGAAGCGAAAGTCGCCGTCGACGGCGGGGTGCAACAAGTCCGACCTACGTCGACCACCATGTCATGACACGAAGACGCTCGCCGACAACGCACATTTGGCACATAATGTCCTCAAATGGAACCACTTCCTGGCCAAGGCACTCCATGCGGTGGATCTGGTGGTTGTAGTACATGCGCATTTCGTCGGCGCGGATCACGTGGTCGTCGTCGAGGTCGATCAGTTCAAACCAGTACCGCAAGCTCACGGGGTTGCCTTTGTCTTCTTCTGAAAGCATAAAGTCTACCGCCACGCGTCATGCCACCACCATGCGGCATGCATGCACTGCCGTACAGATAAAGTCTTCGTAGCTCATCTTGGTCTTGTCCTCTGTCGAGAGCGATTGGATTCGGGCAAACGGCCGCCGCCCCGCGTCGAAGATACGATCGACAATCACCCTCGTCAGTGCATGGCCGCCATATCGCATGAGGTCGTCGCGGCTGAGGAGAAAGTCGTGGTCCGTATCGAGCTCCCAAAATTTGCAGTACAGCACGTAAAAGTGCTCGTAGGAAAAGTACGCGTTCACCTGGGCTCGGATGAGCCGCCTACACGTGGGTCGATGGATGGGCGACGTACTTTGTTGATGTCTTCTTCTTCGTCGACCACGTTGAACGCATGGACGAGATTGCTCCGACGCAGCTTTCGAAGGGTGATGCGACCGCTACTGTCCTTGTCCACCATGTAGAAGATGCGAACGGCCACTGTCGCCGCTACAGGCACCACCAAGCGCCAAATCACGCGGGTTCACATCCAACACGTCATTCGACGACAATATGTACCATATTTCTCCTGGAACTCGGGAGTCCCAGACAAGAATTCCAAGCCGGGATGGTACTTGAGCAGCTCTACACTCATCCGTGCCATCAAAGCGAGGAAAAGATGGACGAGGGGTACCATGCAGGAACGGGGCAAAATCGCTGTGCTCGATGTAGTCTTTTCCCGGCTGCTTGACGAGGCGGAAGAAGCGCTCTACGTTGTCGTACGGCTCGATTTCGACCGTCCAAAACGTGTGAAACATTTCCTTGCTGACAAATGTTGACGCGGGGTCGAAGTCGCTTGTGATGGGCGCGTTGTTGAGTGCTCGAATGCGAAGGAACAGCGGGAGGTTGAAAAAGCTGGGGAACCCACACAGGTCCTTTGTGATTGACACGAACGAGTCTACGTTCAGGCCCTCGGGCCCCGCACCGGCAAGCTGAAACCGTTCGTCAATGTCGCGTTCCTTTCGGTTGAGTTGGTCGCGCGAATACGCCCGTCCCCGTCCTCGACCGCCTTCCTTGGGAAAGTAAAACTTGGGAATCCGAGCAGACGCATCCTCTGTTGATGCCTCGGGTGTGACAGACAGTTGCAGCGGTTGTAGCAACTCGACGTGGATCTCGTCCGAGTTGCCGTGCGACTTTTTCCGAATGTGTTGGGCATGGTTTGGGGTGTGATTCGGCGGTCGCTTTGGCGACCGGCACGGGTCAGCGTGACTGCTACTACTCGGCGACATGGACCCTAGAATGGACACTCCCCCACCGGTTGGTGTGCCCGGCACAACAATCTCGCGCCCGTTCTTGACGTCGTCAACTAACGTGCAGATCATATCTTTGGTTGCGTCAAGCGACAGCCACTGTCGAAACAGTTCCTCCATCTTCATGCGGCCACTCGGACACGCGTGCGCTGCATTAAGGTCACCGAGCGCCTCGTGGTGCATCGTCTCTGTCTCGTAGTTGGCCGCCTTGGACTTCATCCCGTCGACGGAGGCGCACACCTGTATGGTCTTCCGTGGCCGGTTTTTTGTGGATTAAACGCCCCGCACGCCCATTGGCTGATATAGCAACAGTCGCCTTGTCTTGCGAGATTTGATTGGCTAAAACCGAAAGAGACAGACGGCAATGTTTCAAACGCTGTTTCAAACCGAGGACAGCTTCGCCCTGCTCCACACACACCCAGCTACCCCATCACATTGCACAGAATGGTGCCTCCACTTGCTTGACTTTTCAGCGGCGTTGACGGTAGACCTTCTGCTTCCCGCGGGCTCGTAGTCTCTTCGTGCCGTCCTGGACTCGCCCCCGAATAAGAGTGTTTAAAACACATGTGTTCGGAACAACCTTGCCAAGTGTGACAGGTCTCGTCCCGGACGAATTCGTCGAGAGGTCCTGCGCCGATGGCGCCGCAGCCTTTCGCCAAGCGGACACCATGCATCAACAAGAGTCATGTGAATGAAGTGTCTGGGCACGTCGAGATTCTGTGATTACCCCCGGTACGTGCGTCTATGGAGGCTAGGAGACGTGTTGATACAGTGGAGCGCGTTGATGAGTGGACGCCATGATCGCACCCACACGATCCGACATGGAATCAACGATGAACGACAGGCTTAGACAATTTGGTGGGTTTCCTTTGACTGGCCATGCTGAATGTTTCGCCGTTCCGTTCGCAACGCGTGGGCATACAAGAGTGCGCCTGAGCACGCCACGACCATTCCGAGGGCATTGGTGTGATGGAGGTGCAGAGCAAAATACCACACGGAAAAGAGTATCGTGGTCACGCGGCGCAGAGCATTCCACACTGCATGGGACACCATGTCAGTCGACGACAGCACGACAAACGAGCACTACCAAATATGTGAATGCGATTCCATGCATGTTGTTGACCTTGTTCAACGTACCCAATGATACAGGTAAAAGAAGACGCCATTGAACACGGAAAAGAGAAACTCTTTGAAGTTGGCGCTTGCCACGGCCCGAGAAGCCGCTGGATCGTTACCAAAGACGCTCCAAAGGCCAGCAAGAACCCACTGAGGAACTTGATTCAGCTCAAACCGGTTTGCGTCAAGGCGTACCTGCAGCAACATGGCGTAGTACAATGTGGAATAAAACATCACGTGTAGCGGCATGAATGGCTGGATGCGCTTGACGAGGGCCGAGCGCAGCGGGAATGAAATATTGGCAAGCATCGCGATTGCCATTCCAGCGATTGAAAACGCTGCATTAGACATCGCCGACAGATATACACCCGCAACGATGGGAATCAAGGCCCCTAGGCGAAGTCTACATGATGTCATGACGACACCGGGGAAGATAGTGCACACCGACTGAGTTGCGGGTCGCGAAGGAAAGTTGCGGCCAGCGTGACGCTGACAAGAGGCTCCAATGCACGCATTGTTTCGTTGATGGAGACATGCATGGCCCAGAATCCTGCGTTGAAGCTGCAAACGCCCACAGAATACACAAAGGCCGAAAGCACGAGCCACATGTGTGCGCGCGGATTCTCACTGCGCTGGAAGATCGCTGTCGGGTGGTACAGCGCGGTGTACCAAGCATGGCATGCGAATGCGACAGTGAATTGCCATGCAGAGAGGATGAAGGCGTGAGGGTACTCTTGCAGGATTTGCTTGGATGTTACACCGCTCAGGGCCGAGCTCGCACACCACCCAAAGATCGCCAGCGGCGGAGCCATCGCCTTTACCTCAAGAAAATGAATTGTATGTAGTTTATTTACATTAAATGAATATGAAGATCATGTTGTCTGTCCAATCAGGACTCTGGATGTGCATAATAAAAATGTCATAAGCCCTGAACTAATTGGATGCAATTTGAGGGGAATATTTTGCTGTTTTACACGTCGACCTTTGGCCGTGCCTTCTTCCGACGTGCCATGTCGCTCGCGTTCTTGGCCAAGAAGAGCTGGCACACGTCGAACCTCAGCAACGTTGAGAAGGTATGGAAAGCAGAGCAAAAGGCTGCTCTTGAGGAAAAGAAGCTTGCGGAATGGAAGAAGAATGTGGAAGAAGAACGGCAACTGAAGGAGTTGCGCGAGCTTCAAGCAAAGGCTTCCGGCACCAAAGCGAACACGACGGAGCGGGTCGATTGGATGTATGAAGGGCCCATGGCAGCTTCTCAACGTGAAAAGACTGCGGAAGAGTACCTGCTTGGCAAGGAGTACGAGGAAAAACCTGAAGACAACGAGCTGAAGAAACTGTCCTCGCAACCAGGGTCACTGTACATGCAGAGTGGGCCAGGAACAGCAAACGATGCGTTTTCCCGCCTCAACGAGGATCCCATGATGTTTATCAAGTTCGGCCATCATGATCATGCTCCTTTCCCCTCACACACACCTGCATGTAGGAAACAGCAGAAAGCTACCCAACTTAGCATCATGAAGAACCCCATGAAGATGAAGCGTATCAAAGAAAAGGTACTGCTTGGTCGTCGCAGTGTCGTCATGTGTATGTCCTGGTTAGGTGGAGCAAGAACTGAAGGAGCGAAAAGCAGAAAAGAAAGCGAAAAAGGAAGCAAAAAAGGCTAAAAAAGCGTCCAAAAAGGACAAAAAACGTCGTGGCAGCGACGATAACGATGCCTCGAGCAGCAAACACAGCCGCCGCTCGACTTCTGCAGATCACCGTCACCATGTCGACCATACGGACCGTTTACGCCACCACAGCAGCCACGACACCAAACGAGATCGAAGCGCCAGTCCCCCCAGGAGCTATCGTAGTGGTGACGGCCACCGTGGCTCTCCAAGAGGCCGTTCAAGGGATCGCTCACCTGGACGCAGTCGCCCTCGGCATGAGAGTCCCACTCGGCAAGACCATCCCGTGCCGTTGAAGGGATATGGTGTCCTTGGGGCCGAAAACGCTCGAAAGTGTCGCGACATTGATACGTCAAGCCTTGGTCCGTCTCGTAAATTTTTGGACCAAGCGAAGGAGAAACGGCAGCGAGAAGAAGATGAGAAGCAAGAGCGATTCAAGCGTGCGCGGGCCGCAACGGATGTTGCGACGAAGGCGGACAGGGAAGCTCGTCTGCAAGCGATGTTGGAGGACGCCAAACGACGTGAAAGAGCCTTGGATGCTCGACTGCGCAAGTCGGAGAGCGACAAGAGGCGCGAAAATGACGGCGACGGTGAAGCCAGTGCGACCCAGCAAAACCCAACTTTCTTGAAGGACTTGCATGATGCCGCGTACGTCCATTCGAACGACTCGATGGAGGAGCGGCTGCAACGCAACAAGCACTACATTCAACGAAATGCCGACAGCAAGAACTTCATGCAGCGATAGAGACTGAACGTCGACTTAATTCCACCACTTTCTAACTCCTTCGTTGTCTTCTGGTTAAATTTTTCTCACGCTCCGAAGGCAACGAATCCCTTATGATGCCATCGTCGCCTGTTGCCGCACGCTCGATGTGCGCCAACAGTCGGCACTGTCGCTAGACGGGTGCTCAGCACGAGCTATCTACGAATCGGCTCACCAACGGGGCTCCACATCAGTAACGTTGCAAGTTCCGCGCGAGAGTTTGCGCTATCACCGCCGCACACGGTTGATGGTCATCGCAATGGTTCGATTTGCTTGTCAACTTCCTCAACCGAACAATGGGAGGACGTGATCACTCAACTTCAATGTCCGGATAATTTCGGATACTTCGGCCTGATACGCGTTGGGTATGAAACTACATCATTCCGATGTGATTGAGGGCACGACCAAGTATCTCAGGATCTCCTACATCGTCGTCACGACGGATGTACACTTGAAAGTTGTGTCACTTTGGTAGTGTCGAGATATCCGGATAATAGGGGGTAGGGGGAGGATAAAAGAAAGCCAATCAAAGACATCGGTTCACTGGGAGAATAATATTCCACGCGATTCGACCCCCATAAAGTGCCACAGTGAAGGTGGTTTATCCGGATACAGGCCACTCGATACAAATTTCGAGTGCTGTCGAACCTTCATTTCCCAATTTTCCGCGCAACGCCCGCACCCTCCACCGACACCGTGTTCCGACGTGTGTTGTCTTCATGCCACAGATCCCGATGACAGCAAGACGACGGGGACGACATTGTCCTCATGAGATAGCAAAGCAAGCCAAGAAGTTTTCGTCCGTCCTTGTGCGTGGATTCAGTGCAGGCAACATCTCTGTCGTCGACAAGCGTAGTTGGCTTGAAGTTTGCGATCAGAAGCACAGGTATGGCGCAAACCTTCGCGCGTACTACAAAGAATGGAAGCGATACGACGGCCCAAAGCCTGGATTCTGGGAATGGCTTGACGATGAATCGATTGAAGTCGAAGGGGTGCCTCGAACCAAGCTCGAGAGCGAAACCGTCCTATACTGCGACCCTGCCGAGCGTCAGCGCTTCGAGCTCGACATTCGTCAAGGCATGGTAATTCGTAAATCCACCCAGGAAATTGTCGACACTGGTGACGAAGGATGGATCTTTGTTCTCCGCGATGGCATTTTGTACGGCAGCGAAAAGGTGACGACCCAAGTTCCACGCATTCACCACACGAGTTTGGTGGGAGGTGAATGCGTTCAAACGGCAGGGATGATGGTCGTTTCTGAAGGCACACTTCGTATTATTTATCCCCACAGCGGGCATTACCGTCCTTCCGAGAACGAACTTCTGGTGCTCATGCGATTCCTGGTCCAGCACGGCATTGCGCACAACGAAATCCTCGTCGACGTTCAACGGATGCAGAAAGTCGCGCGTGAAACCGTTAACGGCGTCAAAACCAAGAAGATCGACAATGCCCACTTTTGGAATGGCGAGCGTGTGTTGAGCTTCCTTGAAATGAAGGACTTGGCATGGCGCCTCGATCTCTTCCACGACTTGGAGACCGAAGTTGTACGGTGGAAATCCCGAGTCCACTCGTTTTCCGCACCCTCCCAGTCCCTGCAGTTGGTGCACTGCTCGTCGAGTGGTGGCGACGACGATGTTGATATGGACGCCACCAACGATGGTCCGTTGTACTTTTAAACCGTAACATCCGTAATATTTAATACTGAACAGCTTGTCTTTATCACTTGGTCGAACAGCGCAGCCATCGCAGGATACCCTTGCGCCAAGTCCTTGGCAGTCTTTCCGTCCTTGTCAGCGGCGTCCATAGAAGCGCCGTGGGCCAGAAGAAGCTGGACGCATGATTCTCGCTGCCACATGACAGCACAATGCAGCGGCGTGCGCCGAATCGACGCCAAGTTGACATCGGCATGGGCATCAAGCAGAACTTGGACCACATGTGCATGGCCGTTTGCACTTGCATAGTACAGGCCCGTACACCCGTCGACATCTTGGAGATTCACGTCGACCATATTAGCTGCCAAGAGCGCTGCGCAAAACGCCGCGTGGCCTTCGACAGCCGCATAATGGAACGGGTGCCTTGCCAAAACCACATCGACGTGGTCATCACGCAACGGAATATTGTGGCGAACGAGCAATTCCATCCCAGCCAAACTTTGAAGCCCCGCTGCTTCGTGCCACACTGTCACGCCCATTGCGTCTTGCGCAGCTGAATTTGCACCACCCGCAATCAATCTTTCCGCCACAGTCAAGTGGCCTTCCCCGATCGCAATGTGAAGCGGCGTATGCTTGGTGTGGGACCCCAAGTTGACGTCCACATGAGGACACGTGAGGAGGAAATCGACCGCGTCAGCTCGGCCGTGTTTGGCTGCTTCGTACAGCGCTGTCAGGCCAGTTTCGCTCTGATCGTTGACGTTCGCTCCAGCATTGAGGAGCAACTTGATGACATCGACATGACCTCCACGTGCAGCGTACATCAATGGCGTTCGGCCTCGAGTCGTGTGCGCTCCGACAAGCGCGCCATGACGCAGCAATATCTGAACAACATCGGCATGTCCATGAAGAGCAGCTTCGTGCAATGGCGTGCGGGCGTAGTCTTTGCGAACATCGGGAAAGAGATAGGCGTAGTTCGTGATCAGGTAGTCGAGGATGAGTGGTTGGTTTGTCGCGGCGGCAAGATGGAGGCACGAGAGCTGGTCGTTGCCAACGGAGGGAGCTTGGAGCAAAACCTCGACTTTTTCGTCCGACAACGTTGCGAGAAACGCGGTCAGGTCTTCGACCGGTCCGTTCTTGCACACGGCCTCGAGGCGCTTCTGGACGCGAGCCCTCTCCTTCTTGCTCCACACCTTCTCCAGCATTCAAATGACGTCGACGTGTCACTACAATGGCCCTACTACCTGTAAATGAATTGCTAGATGGGGTCGGGGCCAGCTATTTTGACTGAAATCGATGTATGCCACATCCTCAAATTCCTCCATGCTACTTGTAGTGAAATTTCCACCTTGCATACATTGACCAACTATATCTAATTCGTACAGATATTTTGAAATGCCTGGTGAGGCCAGCCAAGATGTTGAATTCATGCCAACTTGCAGTTGAACTACAACCGGAAGCAAGTGGATTTGCGCCACGGCTTGGTGAACGAACCGGGGAATTCGGTGGCCAGAGTATCGTTGTCAAGGGAAGTGACCGCATCCGTTCTCGGCACCGAGTTGTTTGGGCCTTGATTTGTGCCAAGCTCCAATGCACCATGCCCGCATCTCTATGCAAATCGCTGAACGGTCCATGCCACCATAACTACGCCACACCGTACATAACTGTGTCAAATACGCCGAGAGATTCGACGGCTTGACATCAACTTGTGCCGACAAAACACAGCCGTCGTCCCCCGCCGCCGCCCGCCTCCATCCCCAACGCACAGGCCATGTCTCACCGTCGGCGACTCGATGCCGCGACAGCAATGACGCAAGTTCGCCCCGAACCCCGCTCCCCCTCATGTCGCACCGTGAGCCAAGATGCGACGGTTGAGTTGAAGATTCACCTGCGTGGCCAGCGTGTACCTTAACGTTTGTATGGAGCGGAAGGAATTCCCTTGAATAAGTACGTTTACCACCCTTTTTGGTCACGCTGGATGCTGCGCCACTGGCCAATCACACGCGACTGAGACAATCGAGTCACAATTCAAATCGCTCCATAACGCGCAGCACCGCGTCCGACGAAACTTGGATGCCATGCATGACGCGCTTCGGGACGCGCCGCCGCGGGGGCGGATCCTATGACCTGTTTGAAGAAGCGAGAAAATACTCGCCAGTCCTTGTCCGCGGTTTCAGCTCGGGAAACATCTCGGTTGTTGACAAACAGAGCTGGCTCGAAGTGTGCGATACCAAACATCGGTACGGAGCCAACCTTCAGGCTTACTACAGAGCGTGGAAAATGCTTCCGGAACGGCCCACGGGGTTCTGGGAATGGCTCGACGACGAGTCGGTCGAAGTTGAAGGTGTGTCCCGCGCGAAACTCGACCGAGAAACCGTACTCTACTTTGACGAAGCCGAGCGCAAAAAATTTGCCTTAGACATCCGACCGGATGGACGCCTCGTCACGCGATGGGACCAACAACCCATCAATACGGGCGATGACGGGTGGATCTTTGTGCTCCGCGACGGTGTCTTGTACGGCAGCGAAAAGGTGACGAACCAAGTGCCTCGCATACATCACACGAGCCTAGTGGGCGGGGAATGTGTCCAAGCCGCTGGCATGATCGTCGTGGCTGACGGCATCCTCCAAGTCATGTATCCTCACAGCGGCCACTATCGACCTTCCGAGCACGAAGTTCTTGTGCTTTTGCGCTTCTTGCAGTCGAAAGGGATTCCCCTGCAAGACACCCAAGTCGACGTCCAGCGAATTCAAAAACGCAGCCGCGACATCGTAAACGGCAAGAAGGTCAAGAAGATCGACAACGCGTACTTTTGGCCTGGCGACCGCGTCCTCGACTTCCTCCACGTCAAAGAACTCGCGTGCGAAGCCGATCTCTTCCACCACATCGAGCGGTCCACCCGCGTCGAAGATATCTCTCCCACTGGCGATGCCGCCAGTCCCATCAATATTCATTAACTTATCGCTCGACAAATACACTGTCACTATTTATATACCTAAGCCGGGACCAAAGTTCCCACGCCCCCCCCCTGGACAGGCTCGAGCGAGCGTGTGGCGATCTCATCGAGCTTCACCTCGCTCCTCCGCCGTGCAACATGCGTACGCCCTGTGCGCTGCCACAAGTATGTGAACTATTCGTCCAGCAATAACTTGCTGAAGAGTCGCCACAGAACTGACTCACCCAGCACAGTGTGCCAACCATTGTATCGTCAAGGGCGTCATGTTGGCAAGCGCGTCGATGTCTCGAGCCGTTTCCGTGCCAAGCACTTGTAATCAGCGAGATGTCAAGCCCTGGAGGTAGCACCACGGGCTATGCCCAGTTGGGACATGATATTGGGCCGACTGTTCTTGGTAAAGGTAAAAGACGACTCGGGGAGGCGCCAGTGGAGTCGGAGCCTAGATGGCATTTAGCCGTCAGCGCTCCAAATTCGTCGAGCAACTCATGTTGGTGTGGCCCAAAAACGCTGCTCATGACGCGAGAATGGGCCAGATCGCCTTTGGCGTTGTGGACCACGATGTATCGCCGCATGAATCGGAGTCGCTCACTCGCGAACAGAGAACATTGGATAGCGATGAAGGATTCGTGGTCTTGGGGATTCCGACCACTCAGGCGCACTTGTCCGCATCAACAGCACGCGACATGTACTGTCGCGGTGTGTCCTGCCTCCTCAAGCAAGCCATGCTCTCCTCACTTGTAGCGTCGACTCAGTCGACACGTCCAAGGCCGACCAAGCGCTGATCCGAAGTGATCGACATGAGGTATCGCTCGTTTCGTCTCCTCCGGTTATACTACAATTATTGGAAGCAGGTCGGGCTGACTGGCGTTTGTCGTGTCGCTCGAAAGCTCAACCTAAGGAAGTCGGCAGCATCTCGTGCGACAGGCTTCACCAACAGACAGTCCGTTAGCGCAGCAATTTGGTCTGCAGAACCAACGGGACGAACATGTCGTGCCGCTGTCGACAGTGAGATGCCCACTGTGGAGAAGGGCTGGACAATCGTCCTCCAAAACAACGTTTTCGACGGTTGCAAGAGACCAAGACCCAGCCTCGCTTCCATCACCCGCGCCTCCCGGGTGACGAGTGCATCCTAGCCGCTAGCTGGGCCGTCGTTCACGACAGCGTGCTCCATGCCCTTTTTCTCCACAACGGCCACTGCTGTCCAGGCAAATTCGAGAGCCCCTCGTGTTGCTTTGATACTTGCGAAGTCGCGGTGTCTCGCTCGACAAAGTCGAGGCTGACATCCAGCACCTGGAGAAGACGAAGCTCGAGCGCAACGTACGCTCCATCGACAACACAGTCACGGCACCGGCCGACTCGGTGCGAATCACCCTCGCCGCGAAGGAGAAAGCCATCACAGAGCGCATTCACTTGCGCGACCGATCATCATGTTATCGCGTTCGTCAGGTTCAGTCCGGTCGCCGTCGTTCACTTGACTTGTTAAATTACCTTTAGTTCGTAGGATCTCGCACGCTTCCCCACCGCTCCCGATGTGAAAACAGCCCTCGATCGATGCAAACTACGACAGGGGCGCCGCATGACCAGCAACTCCGTCGGCTGCCAATGCCAGCCTTGACGCGGTCGACGCTACCTCAGCAGCCGTGTCGTCCAGCAAAGATTCGACCACCGCATCCACAATTGCGTCGTTCGAGTCGGCCACTTCACTGACCGCTTCCTTCACGAGTGATTGCACCAATGCTGCAACAGATTTCGTTTCTTGAGTTGCCAAGTAGAGGTCTTTGACGGTCAGAGGTGCTAAAGTCGGCGCGGCTGGCGAAGGTGCATGTCGTCCACGAGCTGATGTTCTCTTGATCGTTGTCCATTCGTTCAAAAGCTGTCGTCTGTCTTTGATGGCGCCGCCGCTGACAACACTATCACCGGCAGTGCTGGACTGAGTGGAATTTGACTCGGCTTCGCCGTTCTTTATCTTTCGAAGGAGGATTTCATCCACGTGAGTCCAATCGTATGGCTTCCGCGATTGCATGAGTGTGGTATACTCGTCGGGAAAATGAGTCACGTTGCGTAGAGCTGCATCGGGGGGAGCTGTGGCGATGTCGCGGTGGTACGGCGTTGGAGGCGATGCTTGGTTCAGTGGTCGCGCTGGGGTGGGTTGTGGACAGAACTTGCGTTGAGAACAGTAAAACGTCAAGGATTCTTGAAGGAGCTCGTGCATGAGCCCGTCCGTGACTACGTCCACCGACGATTCGGTGCGGTCGACTGCAGTGGGAATTTGGGGCGGAGCCATGAGCGCTGCCTCTGCCATCGGAGCACCTGGCGTCATTGCGTCCATGGAGGGTTGAAAGTGAGGAGTCGAATCGTCTGCAGTTGTTATCGTGCTGCATGCCAGAGAGAAATCGGTGGTCGATAGAACGTCATCGAGCACTTCACCCCAAAGACAGTTGGTTATGTGGTCGGCTTGGACGTTCAATGAAGGATTGCGACCGTGCGAGGTACTGGCACTGGGGTTTGGAGCATTTACACTGCTCGGACGAGTCGTGGAGGTTCCAGGCATCCATGCGTCTTCGACGTAGTCGAATGACGACAACACATCCGTGCATGGCGATAATGCTCGCCGCACGGTTGCTGCGACCGCTTCTTCAATGTAGTCGAACGGCGCAAGCAAATCGTCGGCTCGAACAGTTGAATGAGGTACCGCTTGGCATTTCATGTGTTCAAGTTCTTGCACTGACGACGTTCGAATGGATCTATCAACACCTTGCTGCTGCAACGGAACGACCTCTTCCGCTTGAGCATTGTCGGCATGATCAATGCCATAAACAGGGACTACGTCGTGGACTCCACCCTCGTCGAAGTGACAATGCACGGCCGTTGATTTCGCCGGGGAGGTGTGCTCCGCACGGTCAAGGGAGCCACTGTCAGGCGCTTCATCCAAGATATACACTTGCTCGACGTCCTCGACAATGTCGTACCCTCGAAGTAAGTCCACCGTGTTGTTAGAAGCGCTCGGCTTCTCTGCATCCTCCTCTTGAATCGTATTCAATGCAGCGGTGACGGGAGGATGAGCTTCTTCGACGTGGTCGTACCCCGCAAGCAAACTCTGGTACTCCAACTCCCACTGGGTCACGAATCCGACCTCTGCTGGCCCTTGGACGTCTTCGACAACGTCATACAATGCCAGGAGATCCAACGTTTTGTCAAGGCTGTGATCAGGTATCTTCAACGCTACCGTTGCGTCGGTCGGTGGTTGCACAAGTTCGGCCGCTTCAACGTAGTCGAATTCGCTAAGGGATTCGAGCGGGTCCGGAATGGTTTGCGTTGCGACTTCATGCATCCAATTTGACGGCGCCGCGGCCTCAACCAAGTCATACCCCGACAAGAGATCAGGACTGGTCAGGTTGTCGTCGACGCTGGTAAAAGAGTCGTCGAGCACCGTCGGGATGGGAAGCACTGTCCGTGGCTCGGCCAGGTCCATGTCGAAAGTGTTTGGGGAAGTTGGCTCCCCACGCTGATCCTGAATCTCCCAGTCGGGTGAGTTGATCGTCATGGCAGCGTCGTCACCACTGGCAAACGACTGATCGTCGTCGAAATCGTCGGATATGGAGTCGCCATCGACGATTGAAATTTCTACAGACGCGCCCAACGAATTCATCGTGACTCCAACGACCTTGCCGGCAACGCCATCGTCGACTGCACTCGACGCAGCTCGCTCCTCCCGTGACGCGGCTGTGCTAAATGAGTCGGAACAACTAGCATTCGGGTCGTGCGTGTCTCCAAGTTCCATGGGCGTATTGGGAGAAATGCCACAATCGTCATGCTCCGCCATCTCAAACGAGGATTCATGCGGATGCTTGTCGTGGCTTGGGGCTGTCGCTGCGGCCGCCAAGAGTGTACTGTCTTGGCGGTGGCGTTGCAAGTCACTCAATCGAGATTGAGTGGTCGCGACGAGGCGTTCCGCTTGATCGAGCTGCGCCACCATCGCTTTTTCTTCCTCCTATGTCATTCAGCAATGCATCCGTTCATCAACGAATGCCACCAGGCTGGCAAGGAATACCTCCAGCGCCAGCCGTCGTTCTTCCTTGAGCACGAGCGCCGTCAACTGAACAGCTTCGTCTTGCTTGGTGGCGAGCGATTCCTACGCGGCACAACACATTGTTTCACAGCGTGGGGTCCACTCAGCAATATTACCTTCAATTCCGCCAATCGTTGTTCGTGCTCATCAATGCTGCGCGACAAGCTCGACTCTAGCTCCACAGGCGGTGCAGTGGCAGGGTCATCATTGCGCTGCGGCATTGCTAGTGGCTCTGCTTCGACGACTGGAGGGTCCTCGCCCTTGGTCGATTCTGGTTCATCAACCACTGCATCATCTTCGAAAGCATCGTCCGAGTACGCTGCGTCGCCATCACTCCTGTTATCGAACGAGTCCGAATACTCCTCGGCTGTCTCGGCCTTTTCCACGACAAGGGGTAGCGTCACATGATGCGCTGGTGCATTCGCGACGACAGGAACTGAAGTCGATGGGACCAACGGTGTTGGAGCGCTTCGATTCGCTTCATCCTCTACATTCAAACTCAGCGAGTACGCAACAAGCTCGTTGATGTGTTTGACTTCGGCCTTGAACTTGAGCTGGGCAATTGCTCGCTCCTTCGCCTCCACCAGCGCCATTGCTTGGTCTTTGCGGCGCTGCCACTTGGCCTTGTCCTGACCAATTTTCTCGGGATACTCAATCGCAATTTTTTCCAGGGCCAGCTTGAGTTCTTGCGACGTGTTGCTATCTCTTTCAGCAGCATTCACGTCGCGCTCGATCGAAATCTCTGCTAAATCGTTAGTGACACAAGTGGTCGCGTCGCCGTGGTCGGAATTTTCGAACTCGTTCGATCCATATTCGTCGACGGAATCTCTAGGTGGCACCAATGTGGAGCCAAGGGTCGCACCCGACGCGAACTCGTCCATCGCGTACATGTCTGCAGCGCCGCCGCCGTCCTCTTCGCTAGCTTCGTCTGCAATGGAGTCGTTCGTTTCGCCACCCTGTTGTCCATTGACCACATCTTCGTCTTCAGTAGATGGCGCATCACCACCACACTCGGGTTTCGGGGCACTTTCAGCGGCGCCAGGCGGTATTGCGATGGATGTCGAGTTGAAGTCATTCATGGAGTAGTCATCGTCGTCTACTTCTTTGCCATCGTGGTTGTCGGTCACTTCGCCAGCTGCAACGGCAATCTCTTTTTCGACGCTGGTCGATGCATCACCATCTTCGTCATCCTCAACTCCATTGCCGTTGAAATCGTCTACACTTGGCATGTCGACAGATTTTTCACCAGTCGCTCGAGCCTCGGCCTCTTCTTCGACAACAGTGGGGCCATCCTCAGACTGCTTGACTACGAAATCGTTCATCGAGTCCTCATCAAACCCGTCGTCGTAGCTCTCTGCGTCGGGAACGGCAGCGACAGCGTCCGTAACTACACTGTCAACCTCGAAGCCGTCGGGTGCGTTATCGTCTCTATCGGCCATGCTCGTGTCGTCGTTGTCTTTTGTGGATGCAAAGTCGTCGAAGGAGTACTCGTTCGCATCCGACTGGCGCAATGAGTCGAGCTTGGCTTCGGACGCAGGGACTATTTCGACCACACTCACAGCACTGGCGCCGTGGCTGCCCTCTCCGTCGTCCTGAATGTCGTCGTCCTGTTCATTAACTGTCTTGGACGATGTCTCTTCAAACTCATCCTCATCGTAATCTTCTTCAGCACGAACGGACTCATCGTGACCACTGGTATTTTTGGCGTCGTCAGCGTCGTCCCCTTCATCTCGTCCAGGGTCCAGTTGGTTCGCATTCGCCACCGGCAAAGGAGGCTGGCGCTGGTCTGATAGATCCACGGCGGAGTGGTAAATGAACTTGTTGGGATGCAGAGCGACGATGCCCAAGCCAACGGAGGGTTGACCGAACGCTAGTGCTAAGATGTCGATCTCGTCCGGGTCTTCCACTTCGACCTGCCGGAACAGAATCATGTCTTCGTAACATCGAGCAAGGTTGGCGGCTCGGCAGCTGTCCAACTGCATCCTCTCAGCTTGGTATTGCATGCGTGAGATGTTGCGCCGGGTGGCCAGGCTCCGTTGGCGCATGTCAAGAATTTTATCCTCGCTCGCCTTTCGAGCCAAGATGCTGCGAATGTACTCTTCTTTTTCAGGATCGGTCTCTCGCAGGTGAGATAAATATGCTTCCACTCGCTGTTGCGGCGCTTTGCCAGTTCCAGACGCCAAGGGCAAAGGAACCATCGGTGGCGCTGCAACCGTGGCAATTCGGCGCACCACGGCTGGTTCAAGCGGGTTGCTGTCTGACACTCCGTCGCGACGGCAACGCGGACTAGAGCTAGGCTTGCTTCGAGGGCTTTCGAACACGTCAGAGTAGTTTTCTTCGCCTTTCACTGAATCGTTTGGTATGGATGGTGCAGCTATTTCGTCAGCGACAGAGTTTGCGTCGCCTTCGAAGTCGGAAGCGATCGAGTCGTTCTTGGAACGACTACTATTGGTGGACTCTTCTACCTCGTCCACTTCGTCCTCCCTTGGCACATCTGTCGCCGAACGCTCGGCGGCGGTGTCGCTTCTCTCGTTGATATGACCAACTTCAACTTCATCGGGAATGTTGCCATGGGTAGGGTAGACCGACGTGGGTTTCGGGGGACTGTCGAACACTTCCGAATACTCCTCCGACTCCACCACATTGCCTATAGACTGTGGCCAGCCGGAGGCGTCCTCACTGGCGGCATCGATGTCGGGCTCATCGGGGTTACTGGTTCCTTCAGGACTGTCATGCTCGTCGACTATGTTTTCTTCGCTCTCCGAGGCAACAGGCGCGTTCAAGGATGCTGCAGAACCACTGCCTTCATCCTCGTCCTCCTTGTCTGAAGCGACGTCGCTGCAAGACGCTTCTTTTGTTGGGCTGTCAAAGGCTTGGGAATACCCAGCATCATCCATGGACTCGTGGGACGCAGCAACGTTTGCATTCGACGGTGGCGGCGCGAATTTCTTGGGACTACTCGTCTCGAAGGTTTCAGAGTACGCTTCAACGCTGTGCGCGGCGGACGAATAGGGACTCTTCTCGATGGCCAAATGAAACTGCGTCGGCCGTGTGCAGTCCAATTCGGCTGGCTGAGGGGCTTCAGGTGCTACAGCAACATCCTTGGGACTGGAAGGATCAATGAGATGTGTTTCCCAAGCTTGGACGTCTGCTTCGTCGCTCTGAATAGCCACAGAGTGCTGCAATATGCACTGAACGAATCCGTCCCGACACTCCACCGCCATCGTCCCCATCTCCACGGTCCACTGTGCCATCGTTGCAACGTGTTGTTGAACCAACTCATCGGTTTGACACGCCTGTTCAGCCACGTTGTCACGCTCTTGGGCTGTGTGCCCCATCGCTTGCAGCACAAGCTCTTGTTGATGAAAGTCTTCCTGCATTTGCATGTGCTGGTCGAGCAACTTCTGCGCTTGTGCCATCGAGTCGACTTCCTCTTGGATGGAATGGCCCCAGAGTAGGGTTTCGTTCTGGTGACGCTCCATCTCGTGCGCGTATTCCAGGGCCGACAAGTTCATCTGCGCTTCGTGAAGCGACTCTTGGTACTCAACAGCCGCCATCAATTGTCTGCTCAACGTCCGAGGGGAATGGCGCAGGTTTGTGTCATCTTCCATTACAATCCGTGGAGCGTGCGCGTACGGGTTTTGCCTTGGTTCGACGTAGCCGCTGTCTACATGACCGTCATCGTTCTCTTCGCGGATAGCTCGGTCCCAAAAAGCACTCGATCTTTTGCTCCCGATATCATGAGAGGCCGATCGCCGCAGGACACGGTTGGCTTCAGCTAAGAGCTCGTCAATCGATCGACCAGACAAGCGTTCATTTGCATCGTTCACGTCGTCTTCGAGAATTTCTCGCGGGGGCTGGACGTCAAATGAAGGAGGATGGTGAATTCCTTCCCCACCTGGCCACCGAATCGACGCAGCCAAGTCGCTCACGTCGTCATGTTCGGTGGCTTGGTCATCCTTGCCGCGGCCATCGTCGCTTTCATCCACAATGACTTTAAACCGATCGGTGGGGGGAACGGGTGCATGGAATTCTGCAGTGCTAAGGACAAGTCGGCGCTGCTCCTGCTCTTGAAACAACTGGTGTGCAAACATGTCCACGACACTGTATCCATCCCGCGTTGCGTAGATCAAGCGATCCAGCTCTGCATTTTCGTCGTCTGTGGCGTTTGACTCATGTATCGGGCGTTTCCAGGTTCGCATGGAGCCAAGGGGCGACATATACGACGGCACCTGATGAGATGCAGAAGGGGCTTCGCGGTCGTGCTGAAACTTGTCTCGATCTTGTGATGTCACTTGATATCCCTGCATCATTTTCTCTCGTTCCAGATGCTGACGGCGCTGTCGCAAGGCCATCCATCTCGCAATCTCATCTTCATCATCGGTGGAGGAATCATTGTTGTCGAACGTCCCGTGAGGACTTGCGGCCTCTTGCGCCGTCGCATGTCGAGATGTAGAGGTCGTCGGCGCGCGTATCTCGTCGTCTTCGTTGAGGAGGTGAGAGTGCTGCTGTCGTGCGTCCAAGTTCACGTAAACGACGGATAGATCTGTGCGCGAAGGAAAGCTTGCATTCGACTGAAGTGAGTCGTCTTCCCAATGCATGTGCCGCCGATTCAGTGCCTCCGGCGGAGCAGGTTCCGTGGGGGCATCGACTCCAATGTTAGGTGTATGCATCGGCGGAAACGTCGTTTCGAAGGCTTCCACTCGATCTGAATGACTGTGACGTTGATGAAGTGCTTCGTCGCTGTCGTCACTTGCTCCTCGTGATGACGACGTGCTGCCGTCGTCGTCTTGGCTTTCGACGCCTTTAGTACGGTCAGATCGGGTTGATTTGAACTCTACGGCATCGCCCTCGTTGTTTCCTGTATTTTCGATGCCCGAGTCTTCCTCCGCGTTGTTCGAGAGCTGCCCGACGCGAGATGTGAGCTGGTCCGTCAATTGTTTGAGGGTTTGCAGCTTTAACAACAGCACCGAAGAATGTGGCGGCGGGACCGGTGCGGTAGGTTGCAGTATTTGCGGCTCTGTGTCAACCATGGCAGCACCTTCCACGTCTTCGGCGCTGCTCTGTTGTAATTCATCGTCGTTCAGAATATATTCTGGGGCGCTGTCCGTTGCAAGGCCATCGTCGTCAGCATCGTAGTCTTTCCCACGTGACGCGTATCCTGGAGCGCCGTCCTTCTTGGTTGAAAATACTGCGCCAATAGAGTGGCCTGGGTGAAAACCAAGCAATACCTTGGTGATAGAGGGCGCCGCAGCGCCTGTGCCATGTTCGTCAGCGTTGTTGCACGACAGACGTATTCTATCGCTCCTTTTCGCCAAAGCAACGCTCTCTTGGACACGTTGCCATCGCACTTGATCCAAATTCTATGCATCCATGTCCCCATCAGTAGCAAAACTAACTTCCAAAACGCTACGTGAACTCTGTGGGATATGCTGCTGCATACCTGCAACTGGTTTCGCCTTGCGATGATGACTTGCTCCGCGTGTAAGCGGCACTGTCGAGCTCGTGCTCTTCTTTTCAACTTTTGGTGTTCCATGTAAATCCGAGCGCGATCTCGGCGCTGTTGCGTGTCCTCAGTCGTTTTGTCCGTGTTTGCAGGAGGAGGTTGTGACTCTGGTACAGCACTTCTCTTCCGTCGGATCACGGGACGAGGTGGAGATGGCCGTGGAGCGTCGTCATCGTTATTCGACTTGAGCGCAGCGGTGTCGGCGGGGGTTTGACGTTTCTTTTTCTTCAACGCGAGACGAGGGACTGGTGGCTTGCGCGGCGGCAGTTCCAACGGCGGCAGTTCCAACGGCTGCACGGCTGTCCGTTTTGGTTGTGGATTCGACGACGCAGGGGCTTGCGACGCCTTGGCAAACCGCTTTTGATTCTGCAGGCGGATTTGTCGATCCAAGTCGAGTATGCGTCGTCGCTTTGCGTCGGCGTCGTGTTTATAGTCGTGTTGTTGCAACTCCCGCTGTTGTTTTAACCACTGAACTGCCTCGGTCCACCGTTTGTGCTCAGCGAGGTACAAGGGATTATGCTGTGGATCATCAGCATCGACGTGGAGGGCCACGAGTGCGGGTGGCTCATGATGCACTTTGACCGCCGTATGGATGTGAAAAGAGGCAACGTCGCTGCAAACTTGCAAAGATCGAGGTGTGCGTTTGGTGTGAGGATACGCCACCTGTACTTCAACGGACGGTGGTGAGGGTTGGCGCTTCGTGGGGATGGTTACACGTGGCTCGAGCACGCGTGGTATTCTTGCAGAAGGTAGCGCTGGAGATGGAGCAGTCATCGCAGGCGACGGGGGAGCAATGGTGTCCGAGGAAGGTCTTTTGGGTCGCGTGGACTTCTTGCGCACAGGAAGCGCCAGAGGAACAAACCCACTGCCTGGCCAGCATGGAATGCTTGGATCAACCTTATGACCCATCAACGTGCCTCGCTCCTTGTACTAGGCAGGACACTTCAGGAATATTAATGAGCATTGACGCTTAATACCACTGATGGAGTCATGGGGATATCGGACGACCCGCGTCGATTCCGTAGCTCAGCAATATAGCTGGAATGGAAAGAAGGAGGTAGAGATGGCGTAGCAGTTGGCTCTGGAACTGTGCATCCATTGAAAATTCGGTCCAATTCTTCCTGCGGGAACCCAAGACGAAGTTGAACGCGGTCCATCTTCAAATGGGAAAGATACCAAATACAGTTGCTAATTTAAATTAGATTTAGACTACACTGCACTTTTAGTATTAAGCCCTAATGGTCTAGCGGTATGATTCCTGCTTCGGGTGCAGGAGGTCCCGGGTTCGATCCCCGGTTGGGGCCAACT